AGGATCCCCTATGGACACATTTCATGTCCTGGTCGCGCCACTTCCCATCCAGTTCCCTCCTTGTGGCCTGGGAAAGAGGTAGAGGACGGCCCAAAGCTTTGGGACCCCGCACCTGTGTGGGAGACCCAGAAGAAGCTCCTGGCTCCTGGCTTTGGATTGGCTCAGCTCTGGCTGTTGCAGCCACTTGGAGAGTGAAGCAGTAGATGGAAGATGTTTCTCTCTGTCTCTCCTTCTCTTTGCATATCTGCTCTTCCAATAAAAATAAATAAATCTGAAAAAAAAAATTTATTCAGAAGGACAGATTTACAGAGAAAAAGATCTTCTGTCTGCTGGTTCACTCCCCAAATGGCCACAAGGAATGGAGCCCATCTGTAGTCAGGAGCCTCTCCTGAGTCTCCTGTACGGGAGCAGAATTCCAAGAACTTAGGTCATCCACTACTGCTTTCCCAGGCCATAAGAAGGGAGCTGGATGGGAAATAGAGCAGCTTGGACTTGAACTGGTGTCCATATGGGATCCTGGTACTACATGTGGAGGATTAGTCTGATACACCACCATGCAGGCCCCATGGAAGGAGCATTTTACAGGGCTGAGTGGTGAGGAAAGGAGAGGCTGGAAGAGAAAAATTACCTGCTGGGTACTATCTGTGAGTTCCCACCATGCTTGCACACAGAAAGCACTCAGCCAGTACCGACTTGGCCTTGTGGTCAGACCTAAGCCTGACCCAGCACTTCCAACAACAGCAGGATGGCGCCAGGAGTCAGGCAGGAGCGGGTGAAGGAATTTGCCAGGATTACTCAGTAATCGGCTAAACCTCTTAAGCTGCCTGGGAAAAGAGGATGAGCAGAAGGCTCATTAGTTTCCTCAACGAATGATGGCTGAGCTGGCGTGACTGTGACACTGGGGACAGCAGCATTCGGTCACTGAGAATCTCCCGTGGGCTGGGTGCAGTCAAACTCTAGGGCTGATGACCCTTGCCAGACTGTAGGGAAGGTGCTGCTAGGGCCAGAGGCTGGCAGGCAAGTAACCCCTACCTCCCGACCCGACTCTCCCACCACCGGAGCATGAATGGTAGGAGGTACCTACTGCCATGACTCAGATGACAGCATTTACTCTTGTCCTCACCCCGGGATGGGGGTGACACTACCATGGGTCACCCAGAGGTCTCCCGCCTTCCAGGGGTCTCTGTGAGCAGAAGCCTTCCTTGTAGTGTTTCTGGAACAGGCTCAGCTGCGAGAGCTGCTAGGCCCTAGCAGCCCATATCCTGTGACTGAAGGAGCAGGTGTGTAAATGTGTACAATGGCCAGACTCAGGATGCTCTACATGGGGGTAGGCCAAAGTATTCACTGGGTTTGGCTTGTGAATTCTGATTCTTTGTCCTCCCTTTCAAGGGTGTGGTTCCTGAGAGTTACCGGGAGGCCTCCTATAAGCTGGACACATTTCAGAGTACCATTTTTGTGGGGTTATTTATTTATTTATTTGAAAGGCAGAGTTAGAAGAGAAAGTTGTTCCTATACTGGTTTACTCTGCAAATACCCACAACATCCAGGACTGATCCATACTCAACCCAGAAGTTTGCAATTCCATCCAGGTCTTCCATGTGGGTACTGGGGCCCAAGCACTTGGACCATCTTCCATTGCTTTCCCAGGTGCATTATTAAGGAGCTGTATGGGAAGTGGAGCGGCCAGGACTTGAACCAGTGCTTATATAGGATGGTGATGTCATAGATAGTGGCTGAACCTGGAATGCCACAATGCCAGTCCACAGGGTCACCTTGGAGTGGCCCCTTTCTAGTGGGTTAAGACACTGCCTCCCCTGGGAGTGGGCGTTTGGCCTCACAGTTAAGACATCAGATAGAACACTGGTGTCCCATGTTAGAGGGCCCAACTTCCACCCCCACCTCCTAATTCCAGATCTAAAAAGGTGGCAGTGATGGCTCGAGCAGATGACTCCCTGGGTCCCTGCCTTCCACACCTGACTTCAGCCATTGCAGCTTTGTTGGTCTTTTGGCCTTTCAAACTCAAAACCAACCAAAAATCTGGGGCCTTCCTGAAGACGCTAGTGCACTGTGTCCCCTAAATCCCAGGGCTTGAGGACAGCAGCTCCAACTATAAATCACACACTTCTAAACCTGTCCCCGGCTCTGTCTTATTTCTCTGTACAGCAGCTCTGTGGGGGAGAGGGGATACCATCAGCACCCTCCACTGCATAGACAAGTCTAACAGAAGTTACTTTTCTTGGGAAAAAAAAAATCCAAGTCAGTGATCAAACCCAGCAACCAAAAAGCAATTCAAGATGAAACACATCAGCCTAAGGCGATTTCCATAGAAATAGGACAAAATGAAAGGGTGAAGTGTCTTGTGTGTGCAGTGACTCAGTTCCCAACCCTGAGGGCACCTGCCTCCCAGCCCTACCAGTCCTAGCCCAAGGATGAGAGTAAAAACCATAGGCCCAAAGGGGACAACAGGTGGCCTTAGGAGGTGGCTGGGGAGAGGTGAGAGAGCCCCCCTGTTGGAACCACAGGAAGCTGCTGTGTTTACCACAGGGGCAGGGGACTCACCTCAAGTTCACTTCTGAAACTGGACTCTGTGCCTGAGGCTTCAGCGAGCAGCCTCCTCCTCCTCCAGCAGTTTGGGGGAGTTGGAATCTTATAGAATGGCAGAGATCTGGAGGTCAGATGGTGGCTTGCTTTACCTTATGTTCTTTGGCCACCTGTCTGCTACCCGGTTCAGCAGCTGTGTCTTCTCCAACCCGGGAAGTGGTAAGTGATGGGTATTAGTTGGAATCCATTCCAGAAGCCATTCCATGCCTTCCAGAGTATATCAACTGCTCAGTAACCCGCTCTGACTTGGCTCCTCAATGGCTCCTCACTATGATGAACCTCATTGCTTTGTAAAGTAGGAGGGTGGGATATTAGTCTGATTTTACTGATGGGAAAACTGAGGTCCATAGACAATTGCTTCCTATTCCAACCCCACCTTTTGGTTTCTGTCTCTGACCTTGGGTTCTGGGCTAAACTGGAGCAAACACTGACCTTTCTGAACCCCCAACTCAGGCCAATCCATCTCAGGAGGTTTAACTTTTTTTACTCCCTCCAGGCTGTCCCAGAAGCCCCACAGATTAGGGTAGTTCTTTATTCACTTGTGTGTCCTGGTGGCACCAGGGCTGTATCATGCACCAACAAAGCCAGGGCCGGAACACAGCCTAGCCGGGGAGGTTGGACAGTTTGAGCAGTGGCTCCTCTCCCATGTCTTGAATCCACTGTTGCTTAGTGAGTGCTTGCTGCCCATCCCGATGGAGTTAACAGTACGGTGGACCCAGCTTCCTTTCTGCTTCCCATCTCCTTTCTGGTCTTTCTCCCCAACTCCCCGGAAGGCTCTTCCAGGCTGAGGGTCAACAGCAGAGGATGACCAGGAACTCAGGCTGATGAGGATTCCTTGTGAGGCTGAGGTCCCCCTCCCCCTGGCCTCGTCAATGATGTGATGTCCACGCTTGTCTCACAATGTTGCTGCAAGGCCACAGCTTTGCTCTGCCCTTTCCAGACCCACAGGCCTCCCCCATGGGTCACCCCCTGGGTTTGTATGTTCCCCCTCCCCTGACTTTAAACAGACTCTTCCTCCAGCTTCCCCAAACATGCTCATCCCTCAAGGCTCTGTCCTTCCCATCAAATGTCACCACCTTCCCCAAGCCTGCTGTGGTGCCCACCCGGTCAGCCTAAACAGCTCCCTCCTCTGGGTTTGCTGGGTAGCCTCTCCCACCTCCTTTATTTTTAAATATTTATTTGTACTGAAAAGGCAGATTTACATAGAGAAGAGAGAGAGAAAGATCTTTCATCTGCTGGTTCTCTCCCCAAGTGGTTGCAACAGTGGGAACTGAGCTGATCCAAAGCCAGGAGCCAGGAGCTTCTTCGGGATCTCCCATGTGAATGTGGGTTCCCAAGGCCTTGACCTTCCTCCACAAGCAGGGAGCTGGATGGGAAATGGAACAGCTGGGACATAAGCCGGTGCCCATATGGGATTCTGGTGGCTGATGGGGGAGGCTTAGCTAACTGAACCGTTGTAGCAGGCCCTTTCTATTTTTATCTTTTAGTGGTTTGTTTTTATTGGAAAGGCAGATTTACAAAGAGACGAGACAGAGAGAAACATCTCCCACTTCTTTTCTAGACCTCTTCATTTTCTTGCTTGGATCGAGGTTAATTCATTCTCAAGTCTGTTGTCCACCTGCTCCCACCTCGTTGGTACAGGGCCAGGCAGAAAGCCAGCACTCACTTGTAGACCTCACATGGTCATTTAGGGTGGCAGTCTAGGCAGTCTGGCATCAGTACCACCCCAGGAAGTAACAGCAGCAGCCTCAGGAGCTGGAATGTGGAGCCAGGGTCCCACCTGGGAGCAGCTGTGTGAACCTCCGCTGCTCCACTTCCCATTCAGCTCCCTCCCTGCTAATGTGCCTGGGGAGGTGGTAAACATGGCCCAGTGCTTGGGCCCCTTGCCACCGGCTTGGGAGACTCAGAGTTCTGGGTTCCTGATTTCAGCCTAACGCTCCCCTCCCAGGATTGCTGCAGACATGTGCAACCAACAGGTGGAAAAATCTCTTCATCCTTATCACTTTACCTCTCAAACAAGTAAATCTTAGAAAGAGGAAGGAAGGAACTGGAATGCATGGTGTCTAAGACAGGGATGAGAGCCGGGATGTACACTTCGGGTGCCCCCAACTCCCTGCTGGCACTGGAATCCCTGGCCCACCCTGGGGGCCCAGCAGTTCAGTTGTGTGGCCACCTGCTCTGCCACAGCTGCCTGTCCCAGGGCAGGATATCACTACTGCGAAACTCAGAACATATTTTCCAAACCAGCTGTTGATTTCCTGGCCTGGGCACTGCAGGGGGCCGCTGCCTCCAGACACTCAGGCTGCTCCACAACCTCGGAGCTCTGGAGATTAAACGAGTGATGGGGAAAGGAAAACGCGAAGCTGAAAAGTGACCTAGTTTATTTAGGTTTCGCAGGCCGGGCCGGGCGTTGTTTCCCTCTTGCGGGGCTGCGTCCTACCCCGGCGGCGAGGGCGGGCGCTTTCTGGAAGGGGGCTCCGGACCCGATCCCGCAGTGGGGGGACGTCAGGCAGAGGCCCGGAGTGGCTCAGATTGGGGAGTTGGGGTGAGGAGACGGCGGGCACGCCAAGTTCCGGGGCTGGTCCAGACGCCTTCACGGAGTGGCGGCAAAAGGTGCGCCTGGACCGCCACCCGCGGGAGGCACCCTCACGGAGGGTGCGCCGGAGCCCGCCGCGGCTCCCCAGGCCTGTCCCGCCTCCCGGGCGGCGCGGCCCCGCTCAGCAGCTCACCGGGCCGGCGGGCGGTGCCACCCCCAAGTCAGAGAAGCAGTCGAACTCGCTCTGGCCCAGGAAGAGCTCGGGCAGCTCCCGCACGCGGTGCAGCCCGAGCTCCAGCTCCAGCGACGTCAGCGCCTCCTCGTCGATGAGCTCGGCGTCCATGCCTCCCAGGCCATGAGCGGGCGGCTGCGGGGCCCCTGCTCCGGGCGCCGGCTGCAGCCCCGGGGCGGCTCCCGCGGCACCCGAGGGCGCGGGGCCACGGCCTGGGTACAGCGCCGTGCCCGGCTGCAGGTGCGGGCTGCCAGCGGCAGGAGGCGGCACGGCCGGGAAGGGCTGGAGGGAGTGCGGCGGCCCGAAGGCCCCATATGCCACGGCTCCGGGTTGGGGTGGCGGTGGTCCCAGTGGAGTCCCCCGCGGCCGCAGCCCGCTGTCCAGGCAAGGGCCGGCGTACGGCTGCAGAGTCCGGAGCGCATGGGCGGACGCGACGGGGGGTGGCCTCGGCATCAGGCGGTAGCCCTCGGAGAGCATCAGGTGGTCGGCCATGGCGACTGGTGGAGGGTCAGCGCGGGCCGCGCCCTGGCCTCGGCCAGCTGGTCCTCTGCAGCGGGAGGGTCGGACCCTGTGCCGTCCCTCAGTTCAGCCGCGCAAAGGAAAACGAAACCCGATCCGTCCTCCTGCCCTGCGCAGGACGCACCGAGCCCCGCGGACCTGCGAAACCCACCGCCGCAGCTCTGGGCAGTAAGCGCGTCCACCCGCCACGAATCGGGTCCCTACCCAACGCGCCGCGACGAGGGGCTTGGCGAGTTTTTATATCTGGGAGGCGGAGCCACCCCACGCCCTACCGCTTATTGGCTGACAGAGATTTCTGGGCGGGCCACCTAAGTCTCGGCCCCTCCCCCGGCAGGAGCTCCGCCCCCTAGGCTCCAGGCCCCGCCTGGGCGATGGGTGCTGCTTGGGGGTGGGGCACAAGGCACCTGCCGAGGGGCTGGACACCAGGCCAGGTACCTGACGGCCTTGCACTGACCTGAAGGTGGGGTGGTGCCTTGTAATTTTCCAGACACTGAGCGAGGCTCAGAGGCATAAAAGCTATCTTGGAAGCATGTAGTACAACCGTGGTGGAGTTAAAGACGGGAACCCAGAGCTTGGTGCCCACTGCGGGGGCGAGGCTTGGGCACCTTCGCATCACCCCGAGGGCACCAGTCAGACCTCTTCTGACTCCGCTGCGCTCGGGCTGTCGAAGCATGTAGGGAGCTGTGATTAAAGTAATTTACGGGCATGTCTCCTGAAGGACTTGCTCATCTTCTTATCGTCAGTGCATGGCCCAGAGCCTGGCCCCAAACTGGCACAGCTGTGGGAGCAAACAGACCTGAACCCCTGGGAGGAAATGCAGCCCATTCACCGACCTTCACAGGATCTTTAGCTTCTTCGTCCGTAAATGGGAGGGGAGGCCGTAGCAGCACCCACCCACCCTGGGATGCTGTGAGGTTAGGTGAGGGGCACACGGTAGGTGCATTAAAATGTTTTCCCAATGTAAGATGGGGTTTAGTTCTGTCCTCAAGGCCAGACATTTCACATTTCCTTTATTTGGGGGGGAAGATTTATTTATTTATTTATTTATTTTTATTTAAAAGGCAGATTTACACACACACTCTCTCACACACACACAGGCAGAGAGAAGATTTTCTATCTGCTGGTTCACTCTCCACGTGGCCGCAATGGCTAGAGTTGACTCAGTTTGAAACCAGGAATTTCTTCCCTGTCTCCCACATGGATGTAGGGTCCCAAGGACGTGGGCAATCTTCTGCTATTTTCCCAGGCACATTAGCAGGAAGCACAATTAGAAATGTTCTATTAGAAACAGAACGTCCAGGAGATGATTGGCACCCATATGGGATGCTGGCATTCTAAGCAGAGGATTAACCAGTTGAGCTACCACGCCAGCCCCTACACTTTCCTTTAATAACAACAAAACCCTGGATTTGTTGAGTGCTTTCTCTTCTACAAGCCTCTTGTTAGGACCAGAGCATGAATTTCCAGCCCATTTCACAGCTAAAGACACTAAGGCCCACCAAGAAAAGGGTGCTGTGTGGGGGTCACATGCAGTGAGTTCACATGTGAATATGATGTGTTTTCCTAATCTGGGCCCCAGGCCTCCCTGAACTTTGCCCTTCACCACGGGCCACTTTTTCTCTTCCCCTGTAGTGGCCTTGGAACTTCCTGGAACTGGGGCTTATCTGTTTGGTGGAGAGGTGAGAACACCGTGAGAGTCCAGGGGCCCAAGTTGCAATGTTATCTCTTTCACGGCAGGCATGTGACTATTGGATGTGGGGTGCTGATCTGTGCCCAGCCAGCCTGAGAGTTAGGGGGTGGGGTGGTCACGGATGACTGCCCGTGGGAAAGCCACAAATGCCTACGGGCAGGATCACATGTTTCTGCCCAGTGTGAAAGTGAGAGCTGCACGCTGGGGTTGATTTCCGTGCATGTGCCTCTGAATGAAGGCTTCACACTAAAATTTCTAATCCTGGCTGTGCATCAGGTAAACCTGCACTGGGGATTTAAAAAAAAAAAATACAGAATGCTCACTCAGACTCTCTGGGGGTATTTTTTTGAATCATAAAAATCTGCATTTTGGGGCCTGGTGTGTTGGCTCAAAGACTAAATCCTCACCTTACAAGCACTGAGATCCCATATGGGCACTGATTCTTGTCCTGGTTACTCCATTTCCCTTTCAGCTCCTTGCTTGTGGCCTGGGAAAGAAGCAGAGGATGATCCAAAACCTTGGGACCCTGCACCCTCGTGGGATACCCAGAAGAAGCTCCTGGCTTCAGATTGGCCCAGCTCCCGGCCATTGAGGCCACTTACGGAATGAACCAGCGAATGGAAGATCTTTCTCTTTGTATTTTCTTCTCTTTGTATATCGGCCTTCCCAATAATAAAATAAATATTTGAAAAATTGTATTTTGGGCTGGGTGTGATTGTTCAAAGGCTAAATTCTTACTTGTAAGTACTGGGATCCAATATGGGTGCTGTTTTGGGTCCTGGCTGCCCCACTTCCCCTCCAGCTCCCTGCTTGTAGCCTGAGAAGCAGCAGAGGAGGGCCCAAAGCCTCAGGACCCTCCACATGGCAGACATGGAAGAAGCTCTTGGCTTCAGATCAGCTCAGCTCTGGCTGTTGCAGTCATTTCGGGAGTGAACCAGTGGACGGAAGATCTCTCTCTCTGTCTCTCTTCCTCTCCATAAATCTGATCTGATTTCCCAATTAAAATAAATACATCTTTTAAAAATATTTATTTATTTTTATTGGAAGGTCAGATATACAGAGAGAAGGAGAAACAGAGAGGAAGATCTTCCATCCACTGATTCACTTCACAAGTAGCCACCTGGCCAGAACTGAGCCGATCTGAAGCCAGGAGCCAGGAGCCCAGAACACAGCACAGGTCTCCCATGTGGGTGGCAGGGAACCAAGCAGTTGAGTCATCACTTGCCGCCTCCCAGAATGTTCATTAGCAAGAAATTGGAGTCAGGAACAGAGCTGGGATTTGAACCCAGGCACTACTCTGATATGGGATTGGGCAAACCACATGGCATCCTAAAGTCTATACCAAATCATACCCCAAATCTGAATTTACTTGTACTTTTTCAAAGATTTATTTATTTTTATTTTCAAGGCAGATTGAAAAGGGAGGGAGAGAGAGAGAGGTCCTTTATCCACTGGTTCACTCCCCAAATGACCACAATCACTGGAGCTGAAATAATATGAAGCCAGGAGCCCTGTGCTGCTCCTGGGTCTCCATGTGGCAAGGACCCAAGGCCTTAGACTTTCTGCTGCTTTCCCAAACTGCAAGCTGGGTTGGAAGTGGAGAAGTCAGGCTTTGAGCTAATGCCCGTATAGGATGCTGGCAATGCAGGTGGAAGATTATGCCACCTCATTGACCTCCCAAATCTGAGTTTTTAGAAGTCATTCCGCCATGCTGACCTAAGTTGATCCAAAGATACAAGCATTGGCGGATTGTTACACCATCAGATTTCTTTTAAAAATGTTTGGAAAGTTCTTTTTAGTCAGTAATTACTTATTAAGAACCTACCCTATGCTAGGCATTGATTTACTTGTTGTTTTTGAACTTTCAATGCATGAACTTCTGTTGGAGTCTATTAAACATCACAGGCACCAATGTCACAAACTGTAGGTTGAATATCCCTCGCCTGGTAAGCTTGGGGCCATATGTGTTTTTGATTTTGGACTTGGGACTATCTGCATCTTCACAATGAGATATCTTGGGACTGAGACCAAAGTGGAATTACAGAATTCATTTATGATCCACATACACCTTACACAATACCCTGAAGGTTATCGTATAATTTTGTGAATGAAGCAGTTTCATGGTGTGTACTTTTCCACTCATGGCATCTCAGTGGTGCTCAAAAAGTTTCCAATGCAGGAACATTTCATCCATATCAAGGATGCTCAAGCTGAGTTCTAGAGAAATGTAGTGAGATGACAGACCTGCCAGGGGGAAAGTGCTTTATGGAAGCTCTAGGCGTCTGGCAGGTTCTTGAGGGGCACACAGTAAATAACCAACTAGGATGTCCCTCTTGTAAAGTGAGTGGAGCCACAGGAAGAAAATGGAGTAGGGAGGGACAGAGCATGTAGGGGAGGAGAGGGCAGGTTGTAGAATTACATTGAATGATCTGAGTAAAGTGCATGAAGACCTTAAGCATGGAGCAGAGAGGGTGATGGCCACGTGGTGTCCCAGGGCCAGAGTATCCAAGCAGACAGAGACTGGAGCAGCACCTGTGAAATTATAGAAAGAAGAATGAGGGCCCTCATTAGAAATACACATGGTGCTGAGGGTAGGGGTGAGGAGGCGCAATGCCCTGGTTTAATAAGTTAAGCCTCTGCCTATGATGCCAGCATCCCATACAGGTACCAGTTCAAGTCTTGGCTGCTCCATTTTTGATCCAGCTCCCTGCTAATGTGGCTGGAAAAGCAGCAGAGGATAGTCCAAGTGCTTGGGTCCTTGTATCCACGTGGCAAACATGGAAGAAGCTTATGTTTCCTGGCTTCCGATCAACCCAGCTCTCAACTCTGGCCGTTGTGGTCATTTGGGGAATAACCAACAGATGGAAGATTTCTTGGTCTCTCCTCTTTGTAAATCTCTGCAAATCTGCCTTTCCAATAAAAATAAATCAATCTTTTAAAAATAGAAATGCACATTCTGGGGCTCCCCCAAGACCTGAATCATTTCTGTATCAGAGATTGGGCTGAGTTCAGCTGCCTGCATTTTCATAAGCCACCTTGTAGGGGATTCTGACCAAGGTCTCCTGGTTAGGGTCCAGCCCTGGAGCAGAGGGAATAGGGCCTTGTGCAAATGCTGGCCAAGTAGTAACCTACCCACCTCCTTCCAGGGGCTTCCTGGAGGCTCAGCTGTGCTGCGAGCTCACCTGTCTCAAGCCTCTCTGAGAGCTGCTTCCTCGCTGGGCCTTGTTGCCCATCCCCACCAGGGCACATTGGTTTCCCAGGGTTGTTCTTTTCCTCTGCCTGGAACCTCCTTGTCTCAGTCCTGTAGCTCACTCCTTCACATTATTCTGATCTTCATAGAAAAGTCACACATTGGGACTATCCTTGATGCTACCTGACTGCCCCCTCCCATGCTAGGCCTCTCCTCTCAACTCCCAGCTCAACCGGCCCTGATTTTTAACAGCTCAGCTCCCATATGACAAGACCTTG